CATCCGCTTATCCGAAAAGTTACGCTGCGAATTTGGAGTGAAAAATGAAGAGACTGGATAGAATGATTAAACACAATTCGCAAGAGATACCTACAGATTACTGTAAAAAGCTAATGAAAATTCAAATTTTATGGTACATTGGTGGCTGAAAATGGGAAAACTTAAAAATACTAATGAGAACAAGCAGCTAAGTTGCACTTGAAAAACACAAAATCAAAATATTTCTTCAACAAATTTCAGTTCTGGAGTTTAAAAGTTCAAAAGTGGGTACATAATGTGATTTGAGCAGCCATTGAACAAAACTCTATATTCAAACGATAATAGAAGCAAAGGACCATTATAGGTGAATTGATGATCTTGCTACCTGATAGCATTAACAACCTTATCAATATTGATGATATGTTGCCATATATTGTTAAGTTTTTTTGAAACAATGGAGCTCGAGGTGTTTATAAATAATGAGTTGTCGAAGAACCCCGTGCGCTTTTTTCAAGCCCATCTAATGCTAAAAGCAGAATTTCTGGCACTATTTTATACCATTAGAAAGTGGAAAATGGTTTTCTTTCTTCACTCAAGCCAAAACGCTTCAGTTCCTAAAGAAAAAAGGAGCCTTCCGAGAGTCATACTTCTTGAACTCTTAAAGTTGTACTCCGCGAGTCATCTGATGCGGTAGTTTGCTATATCATCACGAACATTATAACCGCTTTGCATTAGCCGAGTGGTTAGTGCTCTACGTTTCAAGGATCTCATTTCGGTGAGGTTACGAGTTCGATTCCTCGCTGGGATATAATTCTTGCCTGCGATGCCAGCGTCAGGCTTAACCTCAACGTGCGCGACAAGCCGGCTGAGAAACACCCTGTCGCATCAAAATGAGTTAATGTCCAATAAAGTATATCGAGTAAAAGCTAGGGCGTCCCCTGGAAGCGACGCGCACTCGGGCCCGACGAATAGTGGGCAACCGTCTTACAAAGAGCGGAGACGGGTAAGAAAGCTAGCTCTTCGAAGGCAACTATCTGAAAACTCAGAAACACTCCGATT